ACTTCTTCATGTCTCTTCTACATCAACATGTGTCCCCTCTTTTTCATGTCTCTTCTACATCAACATGTGTCCCCTCTTCTTCATGTCTCTTCTACATCAACATGTGTCCCCTCTTCTTCATGTCTCTTCTACATCAACATGTGTCCCCTCTTCTTCATGTCTCTTCTACATCAACATGTGTCCCCCTCTGTGGAAAGAGACTCTGAAAGTTTCAGGAACAAAGATTCTCTCTCTTATTGATCCATTTCTATAAAAACCTGTCTGAAAATGAGCTGATCAGATTTTGGCCACTTTGTGATGTCATAACGATGTTTTGTCTTGAGTAACCATTAGCCAATCAGCAACCAAGGTAACCCCCCCCCCTTCTCACCTGAATCTCCATTGAGTTCTTTGTAACCAAATCTCTCTCAGAGGGGCGTGGGGAGGGGCTCCTTATTTTCATCTAAAGTAACAGACAGAGAATCAGCACTTTGGAAACAGGGCTGAAACAGAGGGGATTATGGGTAATGCTGCAATGATCTGTTTGGTGTTTGGAGCCAATCAGAGACAGGTTCTGGATATATCTGAGACCTGTGATATATTGATGAAGAAGAGTTTAATAGGGGACCTTTAACGAAGTATTGTGGAGCTGCAGAGGAACGTCCCCAGTGTCCCCAGTATGAACAATGCCATGTATGAAGGTATGTCATGTTTACAGAACGTCTGGAGAACTCACGCCTCCTTGTAGTACACGATGAAGCTGATGAGGTCTCTGAAGTCCGTCGGGCGGTACCGCTGCCAGGTCAGTTTGATCCTCGTGCTCATGGTGCTGTTGGACTTAAACCTCAGGATGGTGCTTTCACCTGGAGACAGGACAGAGTTAGAAATATTACAGGATCCAAAATACTCCAGATTACTTTATAGTAATGTATGTGCGGCTCTAATAAATAACTAGTTTACGTGTGTGTGTGTGTGTGTGTGTGTGTGTGTGTGTGTGTGTGTGTGTGTGTGTGTGTGTGTGTGTGTGTGTGTGTGTGTGTGTGTGTGTGTGTGTCTTACAGCTGGCTCTGTCTCCATTGTTCCTGAAGTCACTCTCTTCAAAGTGTCCCTGAATGCCCGTCTTGTTCCACATCTTTCGTATCTCAGACATGCAGAGTTTGGGGTTTGCTCTGAAGAACAGTTTTCCCGCCGAGATGCTCAGGTTGTGCTGCTTCCAGTCCCATAGATACTGGAGCTGCTGGTTGTCCACGGCAACAAAGGCGTACATGCTGCAGAGAGGAGAGGAGGATGGTGATTGGACGAAAGGGAAATCATCCGCTTCTTGGTTTGACATTCTTTGGTTAAGGTTTCTGTGTTGGTTGCATTTTTTTTCATACACACATAAACAATAACACATATATAAAAATAACAAGAGAGTTAGTGGAAGAAGTAAAATGACATCACTTAAATTAAATCTTATTTACACATAAAAAGTTATAATAATACCAGCAATAAATAAAGATGAAAAAATAAATACTTTTTTTTTTAAATGATTAAACATTATATTTTATTTTGTAAATCCTGAATATATGAGCTTTAATATAATAAAAAACCTCCTTATTTGAGGGACTGAAAACAGCATTTTGGGACATTTTTAACATGAACATTTTTCATATAACAGATTATAAAAGTAGTTGCCGCCTTTTTCGGACAATCAACCGATCAATAAGAGGTTTAATCTGTAAAGCTTTGCTCTAAAGACCTGCTGGTGGTTTCTATAAGCTTCTTAGCCATTTGTCTTCAATGTTTGCTCCACAGATCTCCACATAAGTGGTTTTCATAGAATAGAAACATCGTGTGAACTGGGATTAAACTGGAATGCTGTTTAATGGAGGAGGAGCAGGTTTCATGAGTCAGAGGGAAACACCCAGACATGCAGGAATGACAGAAATGTGAGCCATGGGACGGAGACATTCCTGGGAATCAAGGACGAAAGAGGCCTCGCTACGACCCTGAGAAAAAGGACTACGCTGCGTTCAAGCTCTTATAAAGAAAACACGTTTACTTTAGCAGTTAGTAGTCTAGTTGCCTAGTGTGAACCCAGATGTTCTCAAAGTTTCATGTTAGAAATGTATAGTACGGGTCTCCAGCACATAGAAGCTGCCGGATGCTAACCTGCATATGTTGGGCAATTAGCATGAATTAGCATATGCAGACAATATCTGAATAATGGCTTGAGCGATTTGGACAATTTTGATGTGGTTGTTGAGGATGTTGAATACATTTCTGGTATGTTTAGGATCAAAAATGGCAGTTTGAGTCCCATCAACTTTAAAATCGACACAAATGTCGTCAACATTAGTTCACCGAGAGTACATCTATGGCCGCTTTCTGGTTAAAACTGCCATTTATGATCCTGAAAATGTCAGAAATGGACTCAACATCTGCATTAACCCCCAAAACCACTCCTATATTTTCCAAATCAGCCAACCCATTGTTTCTACTATTGCCTGCATATGGTAATTAATGCTAATTAATGCAACTTATGCTAAATTGCCCAACATATGCAGGTTAGCATCCGGCAGTTTGACCCGTACTATACATTTCTAACATAAAACCTTAGAGCACTGGGTTCACAACAGTGACTATTAGGTAAACAGGCTATAAATAGAGAGAAGGAAGTGTGTTTTGGTTTATTTCAGTGATGATATTAAACAAGTCTTTCCCACAGTCTGCAGCCTCAGTCAAAACTATTTTTTATTATTATTTTATCTTTGTTTTTGTCCTCACCCTGCCAATATTTTAATAATGACCTTGACGAGACAACTATTTATACTCGTCTGTAAAACACACCCTCATAATGTGTTAAAAGGGAATTCATATAAACCCCCAAACTGTTCCTTTACCTCTTTATGTGTGAGTGAGTGAGTGAGTGAGTGAGTGAGTGAGTGAGTGAGTGAGTGAGTGAGTGAGTGAGTGAGTGAGTGAGTGAGTGAGTGAGTGAGTGAGTGTGTGAGTGTGTGTGTGTGTGTGTGTGTAATAAGACAACACTTTATTGATCCCAATTTGGGAAATGTTTGCGTTATAGCAGCCTAAAAAAGACATGGCATTGTACAATAAAAAATGAAAGACTAGAAATAAACAAGAAAGTAACAGGGGAGCTGCTACAACAGGCAGCCACCCAGCACGGCGCCAAGAGTGATGTCGTGTGTGTGTGTGTGTGTGTGTGTGTGTGTGTGTGTGTGTGTGTGTGTGTGTGTTCTCACTCGTCCAGCAGCTCTCTCCCCTCGATGTGTTTCAGGCTGCGCAGGAATGCCAGTGATGTCAGAGTGTGTGAGTGTCTGATCCTCACGTTCCCCGTCACCCTCTGGATCAACCCGGTGAAACTCTCCAGCTCTGCCACAAGGTTGTCTACACACACACACACACACACACACACACACACACACACACACACACACACACACACACACACACACACACACACACACACACACAATGTTATTACACACTGATGTATTGATTACACTCTCTGCTTTAACTGCATCTTTAGTGGTTCAACCATATGTAACCATCAAACCTCTTTAACTGTTTTTAAGTAGTGTGTGTGTGTGTGTGTGTGTGTGTGTGTGTGACTCACGGCCCCTCCTGATGTTGATGTGCAGGTTCCCCTGGATGACGGTGCATCCC